TCATGTAATGTGTGCAATAGTCGAGCAGTTGTAACTCTAACTTCATCAACATGTTTGTTTAATCTTTCTGATCAGAGAGCCTCAGTTAGCATTTGTAAACTCCTATGCAGCTCTGAAGAACACGTTTTTTCAGACGTGGTGACTGAAGATCATGTAAGCTTAAAACATAAACTAATGTTCTGAGTATCTCAAGCCAAAGGTGCCAGCAGACCAATATATCTTTACAGTAAAAAACCATGTAACTGTTGACTCTTATAGATGTTTCTAAACTAACTGTTCACATTCCTTGAATTCATGATCCATTACACCTGTGCAAACTGTGAGATCATTATATACTTTCTACATGTTGAAATGAAGAATGACATTACAAAGAAATAATAAATTAAATCTCCTTTTTGTATAAAGTTACAGCTTTTTATGTAGACTTTTTCTAAGTAGTTTAAATGTGGACCTACAGCAGTGCCTATTCATTTTACTATTTCCACTAAATGCATAGACTTCCAATTTTGAATCTTTGAATCTCTCTCCATTACTGAAAAAAGTTCCAAATACGGCAATGAAAAACAACAGAAGATAAGAACTGGATTTGCAAAGAGGAGTTGGATTTGCAAACCTCTATTTTGGTTACATTTTGATTTGATGAGTTTTGTAAGACTATGTCATTTATCATACAAATTTTAGACACAGCTGCAGTTTTCTATTCAGTCTGTGAGTAAATGTGGAACTTGGCAGCTCCTAGAGATTCATGTCCAAGCAAGGACAAATTACAAACTTCTTGTTATTGCTCAAATGCACTTCTTTATGGAAAAAATAACTTAAACACAGAAATGCATTGCCGTAAGCAAAGAGGAAGCTTTGGAAAGTTTGTGACGAAGTTCTCCTGTCGCATTGCACTCACCTTTATGAGTCAGTGTGGGATGGTTTGTTATGAGATTGTCTTCCCATGAGTTTTTAGGATTCTTTATGTAACTTAAATTTTGCATAATTTAAAAAATGTTGTGTTTAAGGTCTTCACCAAAAAAAATGTTTTGAAAAAGATATTAAAAAAAAAATTGACAGAAGTGAAGCATATAGTTTCATTTGAGATGTATTTTTATGCTGTTTCATTTATTTAATAAAAGAAGTAAAGTTTTAAACAGGATGGTGTTTAAATAAAATAAATACCTGTATGTTTAAAATCTTCAAATTAAATCTTGGGCCATTCAGAGTTTTCTCCGTTGTGATGGTATTAACTGGAACAGCTTTTTTAATTTATCAATTTTATCAGTGTTTGCATAACTCTAACTTATTATCTTTTAATGAGTAAAAGACTGGAATAAAAGTGTTTGTCATGATAGGGAAGTTCATAATAAGGTATCACCATTCTGTGTCTCATGGCTTTTCATTTTAACTCTTTAACACTTATCAAACAAGAATGGATACAGTTGAAAGAGTTGAGGGAGATGGTGCATGTGTTGGTTAGGTAGCCAATGGGAAGAAAGTTTTCCTGTAAGTAAAAAGTACTCCAGTCTCACTGGTTTTGTTAAAAAACTTGAAAGCCTGTATTGTTTACACAGATACACTTAAGGAGATTTGTATTACAATCTGAGATGCAATAGATATCATCTTTTTAAAATATTGCTTTCCCCCAGCTCCTTGGCATGGTTTCTCACTAAGGCTAGCAGGGGAAGGAGCTCCCACCACAACAAAACCCTAGTTCTAAGTCTTTCCTTGTGTGCATTGGCACTGAGAGAACAGTTCAGAGTTGTTGATGAAATCATTATTGTTATGGACATGGTTATTCGTACAAAGGAACTTTTAATTGTCAAGAACCTACGCTTGAGAGCGCAGGATGGCAAGAGTCATGATATATGGCTTGTGTTATTTCACAATGAGAATGAAATATTTCACATGCCTTGAAAATTACTACAGCTGACGTTTGGAAAAGTTAAAAAAAAAAAATCCTGGGGCTTTCTTCCAAAATGTAACATCACACACATTGTGCATGGCCAACAGAACACTCAGACACCACTCAGTCACTCAGTCGTGCCTCAGGATGCATCTTTGAATTCTCTCAGTAACCTCTGTACTGCTCCTGACCAGCTGTTTCTGGACTTGAAACTTTGTCTAAATTGCCAGGAAGAACAAGGAGTAGGTATGTCTATATTTTTTTTTTAATGTCTCATTTTTATTAAAATCATTTATATATTTTCTCTAAAAAACCAAATTTTAATGCTCTCAATTCTGACCTGTGCAGTCTAGTAAGACTTTCCCTTTCTTTTTAACCATGAAAGTAACTCTGAAGGTCAGTATTAGTTTATGTGTAAAACCAAGATTCATTTTACCTAATTACCCTAACTGGGTAATGAGAATTAATACTAAAAATGCTGATAGATTCACTGTACATGGAAATTCATCAGAAATCAGCTCAAAGTAAGAAAAATATGCCATTATTTGTATGAAAGATGACTGGAATATGTTAAGCGCATAAATTGAAAACCATTCTTGTGGCTAACTGTCCATTAGCACTAAATATTTTTTAATAGTTAGAGAAGAAAATTGTCTTTGAGGAAGAAATAAAATTAAACAACTGAAAAAAAATTGCATTTTCTGTCAAGAGGACATCTCTGAATTTACAGAAGGTTACTCTAGCACTCACTCGGACACTGACTAGCAGACTCTGAAGAAATTGTTGCAATGATAAACTCTGCAGAATCTTCAGGCACAATTGCTACGTGAACAAGAATTCAGACTTAGTTGTTACTAAAATCTATTTGTGATGGAAAATAAATGTTCCTGATGTTTTTAGTTTACCCCATCATGAATGAATTTGTGACTCCAGCCAGTGATCACATCTGAGGTAACTGGCATAAGCTGATAGCAAGAAGTCGTCAGGAAATGGGCAAGAAAGGACAATAAGAACTTCTTTTCTTCTATATTTAGTAGAAGAAATAATTCTGATTATGTTTAACTGTTATCTGTCTTTTACATTATTTTTGACATATAATGTTACAGATTTTCTGCCGTTGCTCTCATGCCTTAGGCTATAATGAGGTTAGATTGCTACTGTCTCACAAATAGCCCCTTTGATGCTAATGAGCCATTTATTTACTAAATATATCTCATCTGTAGTTTTACATCCTCTTGAATTATCTTAGTTTGCGTGAGGCTGTCTGCAAACTAGGTAATATTCAGACTGTTGTGAGGGAAGATGTTCAAATCCAGAGAGCTGTGTTAACTCAGGCAGTAGCTCAGTTCCCTGTCAAGACTGTCAGCTTGAGTGAGTTTATGAACTCAGATACAGTTTTGCTGCTCACTTAATTCTACAATGGTGAAAAATGTTCTGTGCATTAGTACCAAATAGCATGATGTGGAATATCAGTACTTAACTAATTCCTAGAGGTGTCACAGAGAGAAGTATGGAAAGCTGCTCAGATACATATATCACTGAGACTGTATGTATATGTAAGAGATGAACGATGGTCCTAAATGCTGTCTTCGGAAACTCCATCCTTAGCTGTGTAAAATTACAGAAACTGAAAGAGCAAAGTTAAACAGCTGCAGCAGAAAGTTAACATTCACAATGACTGATAGCAAAATACTGATTTTTTTCAAATGCATTCTTTTTTATGATTGACATGCTCTACTTGCCTGAAGTGTTAGATGACACCACAGGCTCAGTAATATCTTGCCTGCCATAATGATTCTGAGACTGAATGCCTGTAAAAAACAAGATACAGGCACTATGGTCGAGCATGGCAACACCAGAAGAATGAAGTCAATGCAGGAGTCAGCTCTGACAACTCAGTGGATTTTCATGAGAGGATAAGGTTTTACCTGTCCTCTCACTCATGCACAATCTCACACGGAGTTACCGAGAGAACTGTCCTGTTTTGGGCCCCTCAGTTCAGGAAGGACATTGAGGTGCTGGAGCAGGTCCAAAGAAGAGCAACAAGGCTGCTGAAGGGACTCAAGCACAAGTCCTGTGAGGAGAGGCTGAGGGATCTGGGGTTGTTTAACCTGGAGAAGAGGAGGCTCAGGGGAGACCTCATCACTCTCTACAACTACCTGTGAGGAGGTTGTAGGCAGGTGGGGGTCCATCACTTCTTCCAGGCAACCAGCAGTAGGACAAGAGGGTAGGATCTTAAGCTGTGCCAGGGGAGGTTTAGGTTGGATATTAGGAAGAAATTTTTTACAGAGAGGGTAATCAGGCATTGGAATGGGCTGCCCAGGGAAGTGGTGGATTCACCGTCCCTGGAGGTTTTTAAGATGAGACTGGATGTGGCACTTAGTGCCATGGTCTGGTAACCACAGTGGGGTTGGATCAAGGGTTGGACTTGATCTCGGAGGCCTTTTCCAACCCAGTTGATTCTATGATTCTAAATAAAGATATTGTCGATGCCATGAGGGTCTAAACACTTGGGAGGCTGGGACAGCCTCTCTCCAGCTGAACTCAATTAAGTTTTCAAACTGTAGAAGAGTAAATTTAGAGCTGCAGAGACTTTTCCTCCAGGCAAGATTTTGAGCACAAGATTTTGGAGAAGTTATGTTTTATTATTCAAACTGCTGACATTTGAGGGCAATAAGCTGTCTAATCTAAGCAATTTTGAACCCAAAGTTCAGGATGGGAGAAACTGAGAAGGAGCAAAAGAATGCAAAATTCAAATAACAAGTGATGGCCATAGAAAGTGAGCAGCTTTTTCTGTTCTGGGGAAACAGGTATCATCTGGCTTAAGTAGGATGATAGCAGGTATCCTGCTTAAGTAGGATGATAGAAATAATAATATATTAATATATATATTATATATATAATAGTATACACAGTATAGTAAATAAGAATAAGAGAAAGGACAGGGAACAGTGCAAAGCTGGCTTTGTGTCAGCAGCATGACTCCCTCTACTCTCAGGGAGATGGAATTCTCCCGTATCTGTTTCTGTCGTCAGTCTGGAAGAGACATACAGAACTACTTACACTAATTTGGTACTTTCCTTCCGCTGTGCCACTTTAAACAATGGAAGCAAGGAGAGGAAATTTCATAGGATGTAGAGTAAGTTACATCCTTGCTAATACTGTGAACACTTCTCACTGTTGCACATAACAAGTATGGATTGATCTAACCTATAATAATCAGTGAGGACTAATAAAGAACTTCCAGCAGTTAAAAAGCTTGTTACAGCACTCATGGGAGACAACTTTTGCAATTGTATGCTTCTTCTTTGCAGTCATTTGCTCTCGTTTGAAAGACGTCTTCTGTTCACTTCGGAATTTTAAAAAAAATGACTGAGACTCCTCTACTGAATATTACCTCCTCAAACCAGGGTGAAAATAGAAGCAATTCAGCTATTTGCCCAGAGCAGGATGACTGGTGGGACATCGTGTATTATATAGTGCCCAAGTACCTCAACGCTGTCTGTGCTATTGGAATGCCCGGAAATGTATTTGTTCTCCTCATTTATTCACTGCACAAGGGCCCCCTGAAGATAGCTGAAATCTACCTTATGAACCTAGCTGTTGCTGATCTTATCTTCCTCATGGGCCTCCCTTTCTGGGCAGAGAACATCAGGAATGAATTTAACTGGCCATTTGGCAGTTTCCTTTGCCGCAGCAACAGTGCATCCATCAGCCTAAACATGTACACCAGCATCTACTTGCTGGTGGCAGTCAGCGTGGATCGCTACTTGACTCTTGTCCATACCTTGAACCACAGACGGATACGGAGCAAAACTATTGCCAAAGGGATCTGCTTGCTCATCTGGTTCTTTGGCATCCTCCTCAGCATCCCAGTTTTTATGTTTCGGACCGTGAAGGACTATCCCCTGTGGAATATTTCAGCATGCACTTTGGACTTCCCCACCCCATCGTGGAAAACAGCTGAAAGCCTGGTACGCAGTATAGTTGGATTTGTGTTGCCATCTACAGCAATCATCTCCCTTAACTTCTCTACCATTAGGTCCCTACAAAAAAAAGCAAGAGAACGAAGAGCACTCAGGGCAAAGGACTGCAAGGGGCACAAAGGCACAAAAGCTACCAGGTTGATCCTCACAGTGATACTGATGTTTCTTTTCTGTTGGACTCCTCACCATTTTTTTGTATTCCTTGATACATTATACCATACAGAAGTGATCAAAGGCTGCTTCTGGGAGGAACTGCTCAATTTTGGGGAGCAGTTTGCTTATATGCTGGCTACCACCAACAGTTGCATTAACCCTGTGATTTATGTCTTTGTTGGGAAATACTTCAGGCAAAAGGCTTTAGAAGTTTTTTCACAGTTTATTCCCTGTGGATTTCCTTTGAAATGGGTATCTTTGAAAGAAATGTCATCAAATTTCAATGTGTTTTCAGTCAGGAGTAGTTTAACTTAATAATTATCGTTTCCATCTTCATTTTTATATTGCAACTTATTTAATACCATTGTAAATGACATTAAAAATTAATATGAATTGCACTGAACAGCCATTAGCAGACTAAGATAATTATCTACTAAAGTAAATCACTTGATTGCTTATTTGTCCTCAGGTTTACTTTTTTATGTCTGTGTTATCCATCCAAATACATAACATGTGATACTAGAAATTTATACCAAATAACCTAATCTCTTTTACCAATTACCAGTGACTTGAAAGAAAAACTCTTTGCAAGATACCAGAAAATATTACAGAAAACCATAAGCCAGCTGAACATTTTACTTCATGGTATGTGTCATGACACCTAAACCACCAAATTGCAGCAGGTGTTACAGAGCAAATATGAACTTAATCTTTAGTTGATAACTGCATTGGAGCAATTATAGAATAGCTCCAGTTATTTTGAACAATATTTTAAATGGTTTGCATTTTCACAGTAACATGGAAAATCTGAATATTTTTTGTGCATTTCAATTACATTCAGCACATAAATATTGTACAAGATGATATACCACAAAGAAATTGTACGTAAGCTGTAAAAAAAGCAATGTAAACAGTAGCCTCCTCAAAATCTGACTTTTTTTTATCCAATAAAATGTTACACAATTGCTCATCAAGTGCATAAAGATTCTTTTTATTTTTTATGCGCAACAATACCCATGGTGGTCATTGATACTGTATTCTTTTAGAATATCTTTCATCTGAGGCAAATCCTTAGAGACATATTTATATTTTTGTGAAGAAAAATTAAAAAACTGCATAACACCTCATTTTTCATCATTGTCTTTTTCTTTCTTGTATTTTGTTTTTGTATTTTGTCTCTTTTCCCTGTTCCTTTTGCGGAAAAGCAAATATATAGTTCTGTGATTAAAAATCCTTGTTGCTACCGAAATACAGACTCTTGTAGTAGAAGAAAACTTTTTTTCCATCACAGCCACAATTGCAGAGCAGACTTAAGGCAAGTGAGATATCTGTTTCCACAGCTCTAAAAGTATATGTATGTACAGAAGTGGAAAAAGATATAGTGCAGCCTGCTCAGCCAGAAAGATATTGAGAGCACAAAGGAGCATACACTTGTATAACAATTTGTATAACAATTCATTTAATTAGTCATCATGAAGCCTGTTCAGTCTTGTACTCACTGTAATGGCACTGCATTTTCTGCAGTTCTTTTTAGTGTTGCCATTTTGAATATGGAATTAATCTTGTAAAATTAGATTGTAAAAATCTACCTGTTCAACTTCATTGCAGTAGGATTAGTGTTAGTTTTTAATGATTCTCTCAAATTTTTGAATCTGAACAGCTGAAGCCTTTTAAAGACTTAAATCTGCAATGATGGTTTAGGAATTAAGGGTGAATTAAGGGAGGAAGAATCACTCATAGGTTTACTAATTTCACTCCTTCTGTGACAGCTGTTTTTAAAATAAATGCAAGGCTTAGCAGTAACAACGGCATGTGAAGTCACCTGAGTCATCTGAGATCAAATTCTCATTCCTACTTATTGTAAACTGTTGAACACTGTATTTATTTAATACATCCCCAGCTGAATCCTTAGTTAAAAAAACTTTCAAGTGGAGATATTTTCTGAGGGAAAAAAAGACAAAAAAATGACAAAAAAAAAGGTAAAAAATAAAATAAGCTGAAATCATGAAAAAAAGGGTAGAAACAGAAATGCCATTTTCTCTCTATGGATGAGGACCTTAAAAGGGAAAAATATTTTGTCTTGTCTGACTGACACTAGTCCATGTTATGCAATGTACACAAAGGGAAAAACACTTCTTGAGTTCTGTGGCATACTTAGAGTACGAACTAATAGATTAAAAATCAGTCTGAAATCTGAATTTAATGGAAAGCCTCCTGTTTCTTCCAGTAGGCAAGTGACAAGGGCTTTCATGAAAGTCCTGCCTCTTTTACCTACGTACAACTGTCAGGACAAGCATCTGTGGTCTAAATACTGCTTCAAACCATTTAAAAAGGTCTTGCAAATCAATGGATTTACCCTCCAATATGATTGTATGTAAATGTATGCATTCCTGACTGTATATTAGTGTCTACTGCTCATTAGAGGTGCTTTTTCCTTTTACTGCTTGCTGTACTGCTCACTGTGTTGTGCCTGGGGACGTTTCAGTAACAGCCATGGGGATGCTCCTGGGCTGGCAGGTGACCAGAGTCCTGCTGCTGTGTCTGTGCTACTGTACTGCACAGGGTGGAACTCTGGTGTGAACTTGAGTTGAAGGGACTGTGACATATGGATGAGTCCATAATGGAGCAGAAATCCACCTGTAGCCTGCGGAGGACCACAGACCAGAGCAGGTGGATGCCTGAAGGATGATGTGACCCCCTGAGGAGCCTATGCTGGAGCAGGTTTGCTGGCAGGACCTGTGACCCCATGGGGGAGCCATACTGGGGCAGTTTATGAAGCACTGCAGCCCATGGGAAGGATCCAGGTTGGAAAAGTTCAAGGAGGACTATCTCCCATGGGTGGGACCCCAAGCTGGAGCAGGGGAAGCAAAGATTCCCTTGCAGCCTTTGGTGCAGACCATGGTGAAGCAGGCTGTCCTCCTGCAGCCCGTGGAGGACTGTGATGTGCTATACTAATGGTGGATTTTAGCAGGAAACCCTGCTGCAGGTTGGAAACAAGGGGAGGAATTCATCGCAATGTTAAGTCCTATAACCTGGCATAAAAGGACTAGGGTTGGAGATTGTGCCTTTAAATTATGGTAACCCATGATTTGAGCTGTATGCTACAGGAATTGCTACAGCAGAAACCACCAAACTAATAGAGGAGAAGCCTTTAAAAAGAAGTATAAGTGCATCAGTGACCAGACCTGAGCTGGCTTTGGTGCCCAGTAACTCCAAGAAGCAAACTCCACTCCCCATGGGTTGTTCTTCTGAATAAGTATCCTTTTTAGCTTTTCTTCTGTTACTTCTCACACTCCTGATAAACATTGTCAAGCATTAATCATTACAAAACTTCTCTGCTGCAATACCAATCTTTTGCAGTTGAGATACCAGCACCCTAAGAGCTTGTAAGTATAATTTACCTTGTTCTCCTCATCCATCTCTATTGAATTAGTGTATTTGATATTTTAATAACAATTTCTCTAGGGCAAGGACTATCTTTTTGTTATCTGTTCAGGTCATGCTTAACACTCAACCTTTAGCTTACAACAGAGGCCTCCTAGCCCTAGCGTAATAAAACAACATTTAGGATTCACTGAAACCCATCTTAAGGAATAGTAGAGCCTGGATTGACATTTGCAGTACCAGAATATTTTGACAAGCCATTTCACTTTTACCAACTTGAGCTGTAAATGTAGATAGTTCTCATATTAGATTCCACCTTTAACAACAACAAGAATGACAGAAAACACCACCAAACTGAGCTGATTGATTTCTAAAACTGAAACTGGAAGAAAAGGCACTGATAACTAAAAATAAAGACATATGCATTGTAGGAGGCGTGTCCCAGGGGCAAGGGAATCAAGGGACATGCTCAGGGACAGACAACCCCATTTCAGAGATCTATAGCCACATAGGCTTCTAACCTGACAGGATTCATCTTCCTGGGAAGAGAACTGTTTGTCATCCCTGTTAAAATCGCACCACATCAAGTAAAAGTATTGACTCTTGGATGGAAGAAAGCAGTTTGCTCACAGTACAGATGTGCTGGAGCTTTCACCAGCCAGATCCTCACACTGATGTTTAAACCCTGTGCAGTCACCTGCGACAGAGTTTCACAAGAGACCTGGTCACAGAACAACCCACTTGGCTGCTCATGGGTGCTGTGGGTCAAGGGACGTGGATGTCAAAAAAGCTGCTGCTCCACTGTCCCAGTTTGCTTCTTGGTGCACTCCCAACAGCAGGAAAGGAATAAGTGACAAAAGCTTTGCCAAGATGGCAGGACCAGAATCAGACTGAGGAAATGGGGCTAGGTCTGGAGTTTAGTAGTGAAGAGAGAAATATCTGATTGGACACTGGGAGTCAAGAAACAGAAGAAAAGGCTGAGGAGAGAGAATAAATCACTTGCCAGTGCCTCTGTCAAGTCTTTTCTCCATGCTAGAATGTGTGGAGGAGCAGGGAGGTCAAAGTGACCAAAAGAAAGCGTTGAGGGAGAAGGAGACAGGGACTTACTGTACCAGGAAACACAACGAGAAGCAGTGTGCGTGTGAAGGGGTTTTGACAATGAACTGAGAAAGAGTTTGGATCTGCTGGTAAGGACCAGAGTAAAGTACAAATAAAGGAAGAAGAACATGTCTCAGCATGGGACTTGGGACACTGTTTTCCCTTTAAAAAAAAACCGGTCAGAATTAAAAATATTAAAATCAACTAGAGAAATTTGAGTTTACCAAATCAAGTATTCAAGGGTCAGGAAATATTTGATTTTTGTCCCTGAAATCTCAGTGTGGCTCCCTCCAGGGTATGAGTTATATTATGGTCTTATATGATTAAGTTTTGAATTTCCAACATTGCAATTTATCCACTTCTGATTTAGCCTTGTGTCACTCTGCCTTAAGTGGGAGAGAAATGCACTTACATAAACCCAATAATACCCTCAAGAAACTAAATCATCCATCCTGTATATTAAATAAAAACAACAGTATTGATAACACACATCCTGCCTTGAATTTTACAGAAAGATATATTTGAAACTGAAGTTTTTCAGTTAAACTGAAAAATTTTTTTCAATGAGATTATATAGAGAAAAATTAGTCTAATTATCATATATGATCCTAACTGAAAAGATTAGAAGACATTCTAAAATAAGAGCTAATAGGAAGAATATTGTCATCTGCATAAATGTAGGAAGTAACATCCCCCTTTCTGACAAACAGTAGACATCACCTTTGGTTACTGGAAAGGGGGTGTCAAAACACCTTCATCGTAGAAGAGCAAGTCAGGGCTTAGGATCCATCAGGAGGGCAGGAGAAGAGCAAAACTTGGGATTCAAAAAAATCCTACTCTGTCAGCACGAAGAATAGATGGTAAATCATGCAAGAGCATGGTTTGGGTTTGGGTTTACTTTTTCATAAGAGAATTTGAAGCTCTAATGAAAAACAAGCCAATCTGAAGAGCATATCAGCTTATTTTAGTATTATATTTTATTTTCTTTCAATGATCAAACTGTTCTTATCTCAACCCATGAGATAACCCACAATGTTTTTTCTGATTCTTCTCCCCATCCCACTGTCTCCAAGGTGTCTGGTTGGTGGCTGGGATTAAACCACGACGTCATACTACCTTGTGTGAATAGTAAGAGGGAAGAAGCCTGCTTTAGCACTGCTCCTTAGTTTCTGGCAGGAGAACCTTGTCCACACAACTTAGTTTGGCCATGCTGTTGCCAGAAATTCAGAAATTCTCTTCTGCTATCAAGTACTGGCCATGGGGAGTTATTAAACGACATGACACAGTAAAAGAGATCAATTAATTCAAAACTTCCTAGTTTTATGCATATGTGTGGGTGGTTACAGTGCATTCTACAGGAAAACACCTTAGGAGGAAAACACCTTAGGAGGAAAACACCTTAGGAAGAAAACAGCTTAGTGACAGTCTGAAAAACTAAACACAATTCCAGTATAGTGGTCTGAAAAACTAAATACAATTTCCAGTAGAAACTGGAATAGTTTATTGAATGTGAGAACACAATTTTAAGGGCCTAGGGGGCTGGACATGTTAATGAGGAGGACGAGCTATGTTAATTAGGGGGTTACACAAGTTTTACTGCTGT